GAGAGGAGCCTGGGGGGGGGGGAGAATTCTCTTATTAAAGCAGCAGGGTTACAGGGGTGTGCTGGTACTTTTAAACAGATGGGCATATTAAATAGATGAAAACAAGCCTAAGCTTCTGGGGGCTGCCTGGTGTAGTCCGCCAGCTGTCTCTCACTCAAGGCAGGAGACCCTCCCAGTGTCCCTAGGTCCCCTGCCCCACGGGGACCCATAACAGAGCCCAAAGTTAGGACATTCAAGGCCCTTTACAATCTGGCCCCAGCTCACCAGCCATGTCTCAGCCATCAGACTATTGCACGTCACCAGGCACCTTCCTATGTCCCCTCCTTCCTTACGAAGTACAGCACTGAGGGCGGAGGGAACAAAGCTTTGAGAGATCTGGGTCCCCCTCTCCCGCAAGCTGTAAGACCCCAGACTCATGACCTTTCTGAGCCTCAATTCCCTCACCAGTGAAATGGGCACAACAGCAGCAGCTGCTACGGGAGGCCCTACAGGGTGTCGACCACTCGGGAGGCTTGGCGTTAGCGCACCTGCCATCTCCACGCCCCCCACCCCCGCCCGGCCTCCTGGCCGCCCGAGGCCACCGCTTACTCAGGTTCTGCCTGCACATCCGCTCTCAGCTTCTAGCCCCACGGTCCGGGCAACCTCACAGCATTCCTCATCCTGTCACTTCCATAATCTGTATAAATATCTGTTTACTAAATTAATCAGATAAATCAATACTTCATCTCCAAATAGCATATAGTTCCACATGTATAGGAAGCATTTTTTAAAATGATGGTTTTTGTAACTGAATTAAGGAGGTCTATTCTACTGACATTTTTTTTTAAATGTTTTTTTTATTGGTTTTAGAGAGCAGAAGGGAGAGAGAGAGAAACATCAATGAGAGAGAACCATTGATCAGCTGCCTCCTGGGATCTACTGTCATCTTTATGAGTAAAACAGCTGAATCACCCTAGGACGCCGGCGGCCCATCAGTCGTTCACAGCCACCTTAACACTCCCTCTCTCCGCCCAAAGCCTTGGGCTTCTCCTCACTTGGCATTTCTCCCAGACCTTTAACCACTCGGGTCCCTTTCCTAGACCGAGTCTAGCAGCACAGGGGTGAGGCCTGGACCCAGAGGTAACGTCCAGCCATGCTCCGCGGGGGCAGAGGGGCGGCTGGCTTTGCATTCGGACCACCCTGACTGAGGCTCCATCCTGAGGTCAGCGGCACGAGTCCAGGGAAACAGAGTCAGGACACAGAGCCCACCTCGACAAGCGAAGCTGAAGGGACACACGAGAACTCCGTATTCTGTTTAACAAAGGGGCACGGGGCCAGGGCTCAGACCACCAACTGCCATTTCTCAGCACGCTCACTTAGACGCTGTAACAAGTGTTAATAAAAGTCTAAATCTTAGCCTCCGCGGGGAAGGTGAACACCAATCCCCGAGAGTAGCTGGCAGAATAAGATCAAACGTGCTACACCACAGCCGCCCAGTGGAGCCACAACCAAGGCAGGGAGACAACCATAGCGCTGTTCAGGCCTCAACACCTCAGTTCTGGCGCCGGCCCAGGCGCCCGCCGCTTTACTCCCCACAAGGCCCCATTTAACACTTTCGGATCTGAGCTCGCTTGTGGCTCCTCCTGGCCCATCACAGCCTCTCCCCTGGGAAGCAGAGGGGTTGGCATGGGTTCCAAGGGTCAGGCCGGCGGACGGACTCCCTAACCTCCCCTCAAAGATCATCCTAACTGGCCTCAGCCCCCAGTAACAACCCAAACGAAAAGAAACACACGCTAGCTGTGGAATGTGGCGTGTGCCACCTTGAACCAGGTGGGGATGAAATCTGCCCCATAAACCTTTGACCAGGGGGACAGACACATGGAATCCTCATGCACGAGGACACTGGCTAGCTCTGTGGTCCTGTGACACCCCCTAGATCACTGCGGTGTCACGGTCTGAGCCAATTAACACCCATGGTGCCGATGACAGTCGGTACCACACTGAAACCTAGGGGGTTGAGGTCCTGCCCCCAAGGAATTTTATGAGGTTCCCTATATAAACTAAGTCACTGTCATTTTTCAAAAGTTGGCAAATTTTGTATAGTTCTTAGGTCAACTGCTGGCACTGAGGATCTGATACAAAGAGCCTACTAATAAGAATGAAATGATCTTTGTTGACCATCCAGGGCCAGGACAGATAAAAGCTGGCAAGACAAGCAGAGATTTCAAAACTACAAACTAGAACTATCTCCAAAATAAGTGAAGGCCCGGGTGCTAAACAACAGACCTAGAAGGCTACGTGCCTGGGAAACACAGGGAGGTGAGGGCTGACGGGAGCAGAGGACGCAGACTGGAAGGAAAGGCCTGGGAGAGGCGGGAGGGAGGCTTTCTCCCTGCTCTCGAGGTGGACCTTTCGAAACGAGCGCCTGTTCCTACGAGGGAGGGACAGCAACTCACCTTGAGGGCGGGGCCGTTTCGCTAGCTTTCATCAAAAGCTCTAGAATACAGAATTAGCTCGAGAGAAAACATCTTACCTGCGAGAACCCTTCTCACGGAGTGAAACATGGCGGTAAAAACAGAATCCTTCTTGGGGTGCAGCTCTGGGGCCAAAAGGAAGAGCGTTAAAAACTGCACGGCGGCCTGGAAAGACTGGGGGTCTCTGGCCAGAGCCGGCAACTCCGCCAGCACCTGAGAGTAAACGCTCTGGTAGAGGGCAGGGTGGGAGAGCCGCGGCGCGCCCGTCATGGGAGGAGTGTCCGTGCCCCCCGGCCCGGGGTGCTGGCCCACGTCCGCCTCCAGGAGCGTGCTGACGGAGGAGAGGAAGGCGGGCGGCAGGCGGCCCCGGGCCCCGCGAGCCACGTGCTGGAGCTCGGCGCCCGCCTGCAGCACCGCCTGCTGCAGCAGCCCCCGCAGGGCCTCGGGGGCGTCCGGCTGCTGCTTCCGCTCCCTGACGAAAGGCCCCAGGACCTGGCACAACTTGGTCAAAGACACCAGGAGGAGCTGCTGGCCCAGAGGAGTCTGATTTTTCAACTGTTTGCCTGAGGCTCCTTCGGGGTACCCTTTGCACTTTGAGAGGAATGAGACGATTTTCCCAAAATTGAGCACCAGGCTGAGCTTCACCTGGATGAGCATCTGCATCAGCTGTTCCAGGAACGTCCCCAGGACCTGGAGGAATTCCAGCCAGGAGGGGTCGTCCCCGTCAGTGAGGAGCCCGCGGCTGGCTCTGAACAACGAGGTCAGCACGATTTCAAAGATATCACTGACGTGCAGGACCTTGAGCACCGAGCGGGCGCATCTCCCCCTTTGCAGGTAACCCAGGAGCTGGTAGCAGGTCGTCAGAAACTTCAGGGTCAGGGAGGGGGAGCAGGAGCTCCCCAGCCTGGCGACGGCCGCGCAGAGCAGCAGCAGGAACCCGCGCACGTGGTAGGGGGCCGCAAGGCTGTCCAGCTGCAGAGCAGAGGCGACCTCCAAGAGCCCCAGGAGAACCTCTAACTGCGATTCCTCCAGCTGAACGGGGAAGTCGCGCTGGACCAAGGAGAGTAAGTTCTGGGCAACGTCTCCTCTCGGCTCTGTGCCCTCAGGGCCGACTTTGGCAAATCTGGTTTCCCAGTGAGCCACATCCATGGGGTCCCCTTCAAACAGCCAGGGCAGCTGCTGACGGAGGAGCCCCGGGTCGCTCCGGGGGCCGGCACACAGAGCGCCGGCGCACCTCCGGGTGAGGCCCACGAGGAAGGCGGCGTGGAGGGGCTGCATTTCTGGGAAGAGAGGGCTCTGGAGCACGGCCTTGGATATTCCTTCGAGCGTGATGTCTGGCTCTTCATCTGCTGAGCCCTCCTGGGCTTTGCTCGCGGGCAGAGTTCTCAGCAGGACGCTGGCCAGGTATCTCACATCATCCGGACCAAGATAGGGTAGTAAGACTGTGAGATTCGACACGATCAGATGCCAGTGTGCCACAGGGTACGTGGCCGCGCTCACTGTCCCCGCCTGGCCGTCCCAGGAAGCTGCCGTCCCCCGAGTCAGGCTCTCTCTGCCAGAGCCGAGAATGTAGGCAGCGGCCTCCCTCAGGATCCGGAGGGCGTCTTCCGACTGGACGCCCACTTGCAGTAAAGCCCTTTTCATCCTGTTCAGGTGGAGCTGCTCCAAGCAGTACCTGCCGACAGAGGGGACCTGAGCCATGATCTTCTCTATCTTCTTCCAGTGGCGTGTTTCTACGCCTGGGAGCAGCGAAGGGAGGTGTGAGACTTCCAGGGCGGCGCCTGCGGGGGCCCCGGACACGGTGTGATACTGGCTGCAGTTTAAACTGAGCAGGGTGTCCACCTGGGCCCAGGTGTGCGAGAGCAGCAGGGCCGCGTCGCTGACCTTCTGTCGCCACGGCGGCAGCTCTGGGCCCGGGGCATCCAGGAGGAGGCCCAGCAGGGGCCTCAGGAGCTCGCGGAGCATCCTCTCCATGGCGCCCTGCATCCGCCTGACGACCGGCAGGGGTGTGCCGCTATCCGGGCTGCGCATGTTGAACAGGATGCAGTGCAGCAGCGAGCTCAGGGACAGCGACTTCAAGGCCATGTCCGCATCGCCCCGCAAGTGAGGCAAGACCAGGGACTGGAACTTGTCCAGCACAAGGGACCACGTGTCCAAGATCTGGCTCGGAGGCAGCTCCAGGAGGCACTCGCACAGCGCGGCGGAGGGGCCCGCAGCCAGCACTGGCTGCCTCAGCGCCTCGGCAGCCGGGCGACAGATCACCCCCAGAATCTCCTCAAACAGCCGCGGCACCTGTCGGAGTTTGACGTACGTCTGGAAGAGAGTGTGAACAAGGGCCTCCTGGGCCTTCTTGGTTCGAAACTCCGTGACGTCCGCGTCGATCCAAGCTGAAGCCAACAGGTCGTCCAGGTCTGGCTCCAGGATCAGATGGTTCAGCGACATCAAAGCCCTGAGGCAGCGGAACCAGGAGGGCACGCATGCCTGCGGGTGGTTTATCAGCAGCTCGGCCACCCGGCGGTAGAAGCGGAACTGAGCCTCTCCGTGCCGGATCCTGTCGGCTGCAATGTTGTAGATGTTGTTGCTGGCCACGGAGCTGAGCAGCTGCTCCACAACCAGCAGTTCTGCGGTCCAGTCCGACGTGGACAGGGCTTGTGCCGGCCCCTCCGGCAGCTGTGCAATCCGCAAGCAGCCAAACAGCCTGGGGAGCACCTGGAAGCAGAGCAGCTGATCTCCCTCCTTGAAGTAAGAGTCTAGAAAGAGCTTGTACAGCAAGGCCACCGAGCTGGCCACAACGGCAGCGTGAAGGGGCGGCTCGCAGTAGCCAGCCTCCACCAGCTTGGCAATCACAGTGTCCGTGGGCGCTAGAAGGTTCTTCATGGCCCCCACCTTCGTGTCACCCTGCGGCTGGTCCAAGAGCTCCTCTTTGTAGGACGAGAGCAGCTCGAGCTGAAAAGCTCCACCTCGGAGCACAGCCTCGATCTGAGTCCTCAGGTCCCGGCTGAGCGCCGGCCGCAGCTGGCCCTGGCCGGCCTGCGTCCACGTGCCCCCCAAGAGTAGGTGCCTGAGGACCAGGCAGGGCTGGAGCAGACGCCCAGTCACCTCTCCAAAGGCTCGCCTTGGGTTGACCTGCTGCTGCTGGATCACGAGGTAATGGCCAAGGGCCAGGTGAATGACCTCGAACAACAGGGCCACCACGGCTCCTTCTGGCTGCCTGCAGGCCGACCAGCACAGCTGGCTCAGCAAGGCCACTATCAGCTCCTGTCGGGCCGTGTAGATGACAGCGAGGGCGGGCGTCGAGAGGATGCCCCGGCAGCAGCTGAGCACGGCACAGATATTTCTTTGGGATCCCGAAAGAGAGAACTCAGCTATTCTCTCATTTATGATCTGAGCAGGAAGAAAGAAAACTCATTACTGACCCTAAACCCACACACATACACAAGAAATACAAAAGAATCCATCAACTCACTCCTTGCCCTCATCTTGATAAAAAAAGCAATTATATCATCTACCTGAACTTGAACCTGTTTTAATTCCTTCACACGTCAACATAAATTTGGAAAAGGGGGCAGAGCAGTGCCTTCGTAGATCTGCTGTCCCCTTTTAAAGAGCTGGGTTTTACAGGCTTAAACTACAAAGACCCTCAACCTGCGATTCAGCTCAGGTACTACAGGCCGGTTGACCGTGGCCTTCGGTTGCGATCCTGTAGCCCAAATTAAATTTTTGTAGTCCGTGATGCTGTTTCTATTTTTAAAGCAAAAGCAACAGGCACTCTTGAAAGAGGAAAGAAAGTGTCTTCAGTTACTACGTGTTGTGCAGCAAACCCAGAGTGTACTGCTTCCAAAATTCTGAAACCCACAAACACCAGAATTGGGGAGGGCTTGGGCAGATTCCAAAATTCACTCATGGGCTAAGTGACGTGCTCCCGGCCTTACAGCATCTGGGAATCAAATTTATCCTGGGTGCTAAGCTGTCAGTAGCCCAATGACAGGTGTGATTAATTCCATTCAAGTAACTGCTGGCTCTGGAAAAGCTGAAACAAAAATGTCAAATACTTAAACGCCAACGCACTGCTACAGTGATCTCTAAATACTTCTGAGCACACAACTCATCTGCAACTGTTTCCCACACTTATACCCAGGTGAGGATAATTTACTTACACACTGAGTGCATGTACTACAGAATTAATATTTTATATATAATTATAAAACACACATAAAAAAATATGACTTTTTTTCAAACATACAGAGACTTTGNGCATCTGCATCAGCTGTTCCAGGAACGTCCCCAGGACCTGGAGGAATTCCAGCCAGGAGGGGTCGTCCCCGTCAGTGAGGAGCCCGCGGCTGGCTCTGAACAACGAGGTCAGCACGATTTCAAAGATATCACTGACGTGCAGGACCTTGAGCACCGAGCGGGCGCATCTCCCCCTTTGCAGGTAACCCAGGAGCTGGTAGCAGGTCGTCAGAAACTTCAGGGTCAGGGAGGGGGAGCAGGAGCTCCCCAGCCTGGCGACGGCCGCGCAGAGCAGCAGCAGGAACCCGCGCACGTGGTAGGGGGCCGCAAGGCTGTCCAGCTGCAGAGCAGAGGCGACCTCCAAGAGCCCCAGGAGAACCTCTAACTGCGATTCCTCCAGCTGAACGGGGAAGTCGCGCTGGACCAAGGAGAGTAAGTTCTGGGCAACGTCTCCTCTCGGCTCTGTGCCCTCAGGGCCGACTTTGGCAAATCTGGTTTCCCAGTGAGCCACATCCATGGGGTCCCCTTCAAACAGCCAGGGCAGCTGCTGACGGAGGAGCCCCGGGTCGCTCCGGGGGCCGGCACACAGAGCGCCGGCGCACCTCCGGGTGAGGCCCACGAGGAAGGCGGCGTGGAGGGGCTGCATTTCTGGGAAGAGAGGGCTCTGGAGCACGGCCTTGGATATTCCTTCGAGCGTGATGTCTGGCTCTTCATCTGCTGAGCCCTCCTGGGCTTTGCTCGCGGGCAGAGTTCTCAGCAGGACGCTGGCCAGGTATCTCACATCATCCGGACCAAGATAGGGTAGTAAGACTGTGAGATTCGACACGATCAGATGCCAGTGTGCCACAGGGTACGTGGCCGCGCTCACTGTCCCCGCCTGGCCGTCCCAGGAAGCTGCCGTCCCCCGAGTCAGGCTCTCTCTGCCAGAGCCGAGAATGTAGGCAGCGGCCTCCCTCAGGATCCGGAGGGCGTCTTCCGACTGGACGCCCACTTGCAGTAAAGCCCTTTTCATCCTGTTCAGGTGGAGCTGCTCCAAGCAGTACCTGCCGACAGAGGGGACCTGAGCCATGATCTTCTCTATCTTCTTCCAGTGGCGTGTTTCTACGCCTGGGAGCAGCGAAGGGAGGTGTGAGACTTCCAGGGCGGCGCCTGCGGGGGCCCCGGACACGGTGTGATACTGGCTGCAGTTTAAACTGAGCAGGGTGTCCACCTGGGCCCAGGTGTGCGAGAGCAGCAGGGCCGCGTCGCTGACCTTCTGTCGCCACGGCGGCAGCTCTGGGCCCGGGGCATCCAGGAGGAGGCCCAGCAGGGGCCTCAGGAGCTCGCGGAGCATCCTCTCCATGGCGCCCTGCATCCGCCTGACGACCGGCAGGGGTGTGCCGCTATCCGGGCTGCGCATGTTGAACAGGATGCAGTGCAGCAGCGAGCTCAGGGACAGCGACTTCAAGGCCATGTCCGCATCGCCCCGCAAGTGAGGCAAGACCAGGGACTGGAACTTGTCCAGCACAAGGGACCACGTGTCCAAGATCTGGCTCGGAGGCAGCTCCAGGAGGCACTCGCACAGCGCGGCGGAGGGGCCCGCAGCCAGCACTGGCTGCCTCAGCGCCTCGGCAGCCGGGCGACAGATCACCCCCAGAATCTCCTCAAACAGCCGCGGCACCTGTCGGAGTTTGACGTACGTCTGGAAGAGAGTGTGAACAAGGGCCTCCTGGGCCTTCTTGGTTCGAAACTCCGTGACGTCCGCGTCGATCCAAGCTGAAGCCAACAGGTCGTCCAGGTCTGGCTCCAGGATCAGATGGTTCAGCGACATCAAAGCCCTGAGGCAGCGGAACCAGGAGGGCACGCATGCCTGCGGGTGGTTTATCAGCAGCTCGGCCACCCGGCGGTAGAAGCGGAACTGAGCCTCTCCGTGCCGGATCCTGTCGGCTGCAATGTTGTAGATGTTGTTGCTGGCCACGGAGCTGAGCAGCTGCTCCACAACCAGCAGTTCTGCGGTCCAGTCCGACGTGGACAGGGCTTGTGCCGGCCCCTCCGGCAGCTGTGCAATCCGCAAGCAGCCAAACAGCCTGGGGAGCACCTGGAAGCAGAGCAGCTGATCTCCCTCCTTGAAGTAAGAGTCTAGAAAGAGCTTGTACAGCAAGGCCACCGAGCTGGCCACAACGGCAGCGTGAAGGGGCGGCTCGCAGTAGCCAGCCTCCACCAGCTTGGCAATCACAGTGTCCGTGGGCGCTAGAAGGTTCTTCATGGCCCCCACCTTCGTGTCACCCTGCGGCTGGTCCAAGAGCTCCTCTTTGTAGGACGAGAGCAGCTCGAGCTGAAAAGCTCCACCTCGGAGCACAGCCTCGATCTGAGTCCTCAGGTCCCGGCTGAGCGCCGGCCGCAGCTGGCCCTGGCCGGCCTGCGTCCACGTGCCCCCCAAGAGTAGGTGCCTGAGGACCAGGCAGGGCTGGAGCAGACGCCCAGTCACCTCTCCAAAGGCTCGCCTTGGGTTGACCTGCTGCTGCTGGATCACGAGGTAATGGCCAAGGGCCAGGTGAATGACCTCGAACAACAGGGCCACCACGGCTCCTTCTGGCTGCCTGCAGGCCGACCAGCACAGCTGGCTCAGCAAGGCCACTATCAGCTCCTGTCGGGCCGTGTAGATGACAGCGAGGGCGGGCGTCGAGAGGATGCCCCGGCAGCAGCTGAGCACGGCACAGATATTTCTTTGGGATCCCGAAAGAGAGAACTCAGCTATTCTCTCATTTATGATCTGAGCAGGAAGAAAGAAAACTCATTACTGACCCTAAACCCACACACATACACAAGAAATACAAAAGAATCCATCAACTCACTCCTTGCCCTCATCTTGATAAAAAAAGCAATTATATCATCTACCTGAACTTGAACCTGTTTTAATTCCTTCACACGTCAACATAAATTTGGAAAAGGGGGCAGAGCAGTGCCTTCGTAGATCTGCTGTCCCCTTTTAAAGAGCTGGGTTTTACAGGCTTAAACTACAAAGACCCTCAACCTGCGATTCAGCTCAGGTACTACAGGCCGGTTGACCGTGGCCTTCGGTTGCGATCCTGTAGCCCAAATTAAATTTTTGTAGTCCGTGATGCTGTTTCTATTTTTAAAGCAAAAGCAACAGGCACTCTTGAAAGAGGAAAGAAAGTGTCTTCAGTTACTACGTGTTGTGCAGCAAACCCAGAGTGTACTGCTTCCAAAATTCTGAAACCCACAAACACCAGAATTGGGGAGGGCTTGGGCAGATTCCAAAATTCACTCATGGGCTAAGTGACGTGCTCCCGGCCTTACAGCATCTGGGAATCAAATTTATCCTGGGTGCTAAGCTGTCAGTAGCCCAATGACAGGTGTGATTAATTCCATTCAAGTAACTGCTGGCTCTGGAAAAGCTGAAACAAAAATGTCAAATACTTAAACGCCAACGCACTGCTACAGTGATCTCTAAATACTTCTGAGCACACAACTCATCTGCAACTGTTTCCCACACTTATACCCAGGTGAGGATAATTTACTTACACACTGAGTGCATGTACTACAGAATTAATATTTTATATATAATTATAAAACACACATAAAAAAATATGACTTTTTTTCAAACATACAGAGACTTTGTAAGGTTTTCTTCCCATTCTCCCAAAGGACCACTCAGAATAACCCATTTGAGTGGTCACCAGTCTATTATTCTAAAATGTGACGTACAAGTTAGAACGTAATTTCAAGAACCACCAAAGCCTATGCACCGTCGGGCGGCTCGATTAATCCTTCTGTCAGCAGCCTTCCCCGGTTTCCGCTTTTTTCCTACACACACGAGGGCGAGAGAGTGAGGTGAAGAGCACAGGCTGAGCAACAAGGCAGCCTGTGCCTCTTACCGGCTGTGTGGCTTTCAGCAGGTTACTTAACCTCTCTGAGCCTGGTACATACAATGTGCTTGTTATTTGTGCTTTTTATTGTCACCAGTTTTTCTCGGAGTATTTTCAAACACTCAGTTTTGACAACGGAGTTCATAATTCTGATCCAAGACTTCAAAAAAATCACTTTGAGACAAGAATCTGAGGAAATAATTCCTACCCAGATTTTGGCCTCTGATCTCCCTTCAAGCAGATAGGAAGGTGGGGTAGGGGGATCACAAAGTCGCATCATTTGCTAGCAATCTCTTACAGTTAAAAAGGCATTCATCAACCACTTCGTCAAACAGCTCTAAGCCTTTCCTGAATATTAAATAACAAAGTCCTCAGCACAGTGCAGAGCACACAATACGCATTCAATAGATACCAGTCATTACTGTCATTCTAGTATTATTTCCTTCCCCCCTCCCTTGACACTTCCTGCATCTTCATATAATTAACCCTAAAACAAATAAGCCTCCAGCACTGGCCGGAAACCAGCAGGGATGCGGGTGACACACACGGGACAATAGGAGAAACCCTCACCTTGGCCAGGGAAATCTGAAGGTTAACTGTCTTCCCACTCTTGAGGAGGTTCTGTAGTTTCCTGCTGTGCAGAACGCTGTCTATATAGATCCAGAGCCTCTCAACAATGTCTTCCTTCAGTTCAAGCTTTTTCTTATAAAATGAAACGAGTGACTGTCTTGCCCAATCAAGTAATACCTAAATTTGGAAAAATAAGTGATTTTATTTACCGAGGGAAGAAAACACTGGACATTGACAGAGACGTTCCACGTAACAACCAAATCCAACTGCCGGGGAGAAAACTCTCCTTTAAAACCCACCTTTGGGCCGTCGCCGGTGTTGCCCAGTGGTTAGAGCGTCGGCCCACACACCAAAGGGTCATGGGTTCGATTCCCAGCCAAGGGCACGTACCTGGGTTGCAGGTTCGATCCCGGGCCCTGGTTGGGGCATGTACGGGGGGTAACCAATTGATGTCTGTCTGTCTCTCTCTCTCTCACCCCCTTCCTCCCTCCCTTCCACTCTCCCTAAAAATCAATGGACAAAAATATCCTCAGGTGAGGATTCACAAAAAAATAAAAATAATAAAACGCACCTTTGGTAATATTATATTACATAAATGTCCTCATGCCTTAAAATGTTTACTATTAAAAAATAAAAACAATTATGTCTTCATACGAGGCCAATAAAAAGTTTCCAGTGAAACTCGAGCAGTTTCTCCTCATGTCTCTACGTAGTGATGCTAAACGTCTACAGTTAGAAGCACAACAGGTGCTCAGAATGGCCACCAAATGAAGTGAAGCTGCAGAGTTCAAAGACAGGGGTTTGTGTTCTGGCTTCCCACACTGCCTGCAGCTTGGCCTCTAAACCCACTTACCGCATCAGAAGACACACACCCAGTCTTCTGTAAAAGAAGGCACAGGTGCTTTATGAAAAGCAGGGTTGGACGTGCGTAATCCCCATTACTGTGACACGGTTCCTTATTTGTGAGCGTGAGGCAAGGTGGTGAGGCCCCAGCTCACGATACCAGAACTGTCAATGACAGCACGAACGGCGACGGACGCCGAAAGGAAAATAACCTCGCAGGATACAGGGAGCAGGGACCTTAGGCCTTGATCAAATGGCCAGCCGTGACCTTGAAAGAGAAAATGGAATCTCATCGTCTGCAACAGCGTGGACGGACCCAGAGGGTATTGTGCTAAGTGAAATAAGTCAGGCAGAGAAAGGCAAATACCGTATGATTTCACTTCTATGTGGACTCTAAAGAGCAAAATAAACGATGAAACAGACTCATAGATTCAGAGAACGAAGCGGTGGCTGCCAGAGGGGAGGGCAGCTGGGGAGCTGAGACACTGGGTGAAAAAGGTGAAGGTGTTAAGAAATACAAACTGGTAGATACAGAATAGTAAAGGAGATGTAAACACCACCATAGGAAACACACAGTCCATAATATTGGAATAACTGTGTGTGGTGCCAGGTATATACTTGGAATATCGGGAGGGGGATTACTTTGTAAATTATAGGGTTGTCTAACCACTATGATATATGCCTGAAACTAGCATAAAATAATACCGAATGTCAACGGTAATTGAAAAATAAAATTTTTAAAACGCCGGCCATAACTTCCCCTTTCATCTCACCGTGTGTAGCACTTGTCAGGTGGCTGTCAAGCTGCCAAGAAGCTCAGGTGCAGCCAGTGTTAGAAACTACTAGATATGCTACTGTTACCTCATCAGCACGTTAGCAGGTGTAATCCGTCTCCGACACATTTCATGCTGGCTTCTTTAATACTAGCACATGGGTGTATGTGAACCCAATCTCATGAGCTCATCTAAATACACTTAGCCAAATAAGACTGAGACATGTTAGCAAAGAGCAATGTCTTCCTTGGTCCCTAATCCATTTCTGGAATGACTTAATATAAACACTGCAGCTTCTCTACTTCCCAACTCATCAAATTCCAAAAGTGTTTAACAAAGTTCCAACAAGCAGTTGCACATGAAACGTCACTTCGGATTTACAAACTAACGGAGCTCCCAACACACTCAGAACCTAGCTTCTGTAACCTAAATCCCAGTTTGCTCACTGATGCACATACTTAATTTGGAACACGAGAGAGGTTTCCAAACCTAAGAGAGATTCTAACCAAGGTTTTGCAACAGAGAAAGTTTGTTAATGAAACATCAACATGCAATCTACATAAATAATCATTAGGTTATAAAAAAAATGTATGTTTCACATTAAACTTACCTGCTCTTTATTTGGAAGAATGCACTGGTGGGAAATCCAAGCAAAGTGAGCTAGCTTTAGTTTATCTTCCCAGGAAGTTGTCTTGCTTTTAAGCTTAAAGGAAATGCCCGAATAAACAGCGGCCATTGCTACGCTTTATCTACAATATAACACAATGAAAAAAATTACATTAAGGTCAAGCTCAACAGGCACCAGAAAATGTTACATATCTTATTGTCTACAAGATACATATATATATATTCCTTCAATGAATTAAGACACATCAACAGAATTGTTGGGCACAAATCTATATATAAGTTGCTAGGGCACAAGAATTTTCAGGAGGAAATTCAGACAAAAGCAGGCAGAAGATGGATTACACACATAGGTACGAGTATTCCTGTGATCGCATCCTCAAAGGTAAGTGTGTGTGAATTCAACTGGGCAAAACTCAGTGATCAAGTTACCTGTGAAAGAAGATTCACTCACACATGGTTTTAGGATGAAAAAGTTTTTGTGCAAATCTCCTAAAATAGTCTATGGATCATGTATCAAAAACAGCTCCATTAAGTAGTTCAAAGAGCTATTGATTTCTCTCTGAAATCAATAGGTATATTTTTAAAATAATAAATAAATAGCAGTATTTAGAGAAAGTAATATCCCTTCCAGTGAAAAGGAAATATAGTATAAACCCGGTCCCAATGGGAGTCCTGTTATTTCAGCTGCAACAGTAACTTCCCACTATAACTTTATTTGTAAATGTATAAATTTACAAAGACACATTGCTTCCAAAAACTCTACAAAATACAGCTACACGATTAAGGCTGTATATACAGAATACAATAAAGTCATGAACAAAGAAGAAAAGCAAACATACCAACCACCTATAATTCTACATAACTGAGGTAAATGTAGCTTTGACGTTCCTAAAAGTCATAGTAAAAAGGGGAAACTTTCATCTGATTAAGCCATTTTCATCATATGAAAATACACGTCATTTCTTCAAAAGAGAAAATTTTTCATGATACTTAATACTGAAATAAAGTTATAGTAAATAAAAAAAATTGGACAACTGAAACACCAAAAAAAAAAAATCGTACTCTCATAATTCTAATATATAACTGTCAAAGCTAAAGAATTTCCAGCTGGATCACTTGCACTTTTAAATCTATCGGCCCTGAAATCCTACAGACTTGCCTTCAGAACTTGCAGGGTGCCCTGGCTGGTTTCGCTGGGTGCTTAGAGCCTTGGCATGCGGACAGAAGGGTCCCGGGGCTGGGTTGCAGCCAAGGGCAAGTACCGCGTTTGCAGGCTCAGTCCCCGCGAGCGCGTGCGGGAGGCAGCCAATGGATGTGTCTCTCACATGATGTTTCTCTCCCCACCCCACCCTCTCTCTGAAAAAGCAGTGGAAAAACATATCCTCGGGTGAGGATTTAAAAAAAACAACAACACAAAAAAACTCAGGGAATGAGCAAACAGCGGCTGAAGGACACTTACACTGAGCATGGTCTCCTTCACTCAACTACAGAGAACAGAACAGCCCAGCGCTGTCATTCTCGTGTGTTGTCAAAATGCCCAACGCCTAACAACTACTTAGAAGTAAGTTCACTATCTTGTAGCCATCGCCACAGCTACAAAGTACTTAAAAAGTGTTTGCAGGACTGGCTACAAAGACGCCCAGGCACCCTTCGGGAATCTGCCGAGTTCTGCTCCGGGCGCCCTCCAGGGGTCTTAGCAGGGGCGCGCACAGCCCGTGCAGCCCGCCCCCCCCACCCCGTTATTTCCCAGGCAAAAGCCCCGAACCTCGCCGAGGAGCGAGCCCAGAGGGCTCTCGCCCCTCGCTCAACCCCGGGAGGGCCGGGCGTGGGCCGGACGGTCGCCCCCGGG